CACAGGAGGTTGGCCAGCTGGGGAGGGACTGTGGGAGGGCTCCAGGGCATGTCCGGCCGGTGTCATTCAGTCCCGATTGGCTGGACCCTAGCAGCAAGCTAACCTACTGGTTGGAGCATCTGCCCCCTGGTGGTCAGTGCACATCATAGCGGGTGGTTGAGCGGCTTTAGCATATCATTAGCATATTATGCTTTGATTGGTTGAATGGCCGACTGGTCAACTGGACACTTAGCATATTAAGCTTTTATTATATAGGATTTTAAAAAAACATTAAAAAGTATAGCACACACATAGAAAAGCATACAAGTCATGAATTAGAACTGCACTGTCCAATATGGTAGCCACTAGCCACATGTGGCTGGCTACTGAGAACTTTGAACTGTGGCTAGTCTGAATTGAGGTGTGCTAGAAGTATAAAAGACACACCCAATTTTGAAGAATTGGTACAGAAAAAAAGTAAAATATCTCATTAATAACTTAAGCTAATCATATATTGGAATGACATTTAAAATATATTATGTTAAGTAAGATACGTTATTAAAGTTAATTTTATGTGTTTCTTTTCTTTTTTTTAATGTTGCTACTAGAAAAAATTTAATTACATATATGGCTTGTATTATATGTCTCTTGGACAGCACAAAGTAGGACATGCTGTGGCTCCTCATGTAATAAAACCTACCACCTGAGCCGTGCAATCCTAATCTGCTCTCTTCTTCTTCCTCTTCCGCTCCCCCCCTACCACCATCTGCCTGTGCCTCAGTTATACTCAGGGCTCTTAGATCTAGGGTAGCTTCATTCTCCACTCCAGTTCTTCATCAGGAATGATCAATAAACATGTGGTGAAATGTCTACTTTTGAAGGTAATGGGGTTATGTATTAAGACTGTGATCTCCCAGAACCCACCATTAAGTATAAACTCTAAGGTGCAAATTGAATGATTTGTTGATTTGTTAGAGTATGTAAGTCTTTAGGTTTCAGAAGTTGCTGCTGAGCTCAATGTCATGGCCGTTATCAAAATGTGCACACAGGGCATGAACAGACGGAATCCACATACTTGAGTGTCAGATCATTGAGGCAAGTTCACCATCTCTCTGTGCCTCATTTCTTTTTTCCTTTTCTGTGAGACAGGGATGATGGGGGTAGTGTACATAGTTCCAGACAAGAGTAATTAGCACTATGTAAACACTGGGAGGAAGAGAGATGTCCAGGATATTGCCATGGCGATGGCCGGCTGCTTCCTCTCACTCCCACCTCCTGAGGTTTGCTTAGCCCTCTCTCCCTCCTCATCAGCCCTCAGCTTTCCCTTCTGCACATATTGACTGTACCACACACACTCTAGGTATACACAGCTTTTCATCAAACACAAATGCTGCTCACAGCTTGGCTCCCACTCCAAATCAGTCCAGGATAGAAGCAGAGTGCAGATGAGTTGGAAGAAAAGGCCCCTGAGTGAGCATATGAATTTGATTGGTTGAATGGCCGACTGGTCAACTGGACACTTAGCATATTAAGCTTTTATTATATAGGATTTTAAAAAAACATTAAAAAGTATAGCACACACATAGAAAAGCATACAAGTCATGAATTAGAACTGCACTGTCCAATATGGTAGCCACTAGCCACATGTGGCTGGCTACTGAGAACTTTGAACTGTGGCTAGTCTGAATTGAGGTGTGCTAGAAGTATAAAAGACACACCCAATTTTGAAGAATTGGTACAGAAAAAAAGTAAAATATCTCATTAATAACTTAAGCTAATCATATATTGGAATGACATTTAAAATATATTATGTTAAGTAAGATACGTTATTAAAGTTAATTTTATGTGTTTCTTTTCTTTTTTTTAATGTTGCTACTAGAAAAAATTTAATTACATATATGGCTTGTATTATATGTCTCTTGGACAGCACAAAGTAGGACATGCTGTGGCTCCTCATGTAATAAAACCTACCACCTGAGCCGTGCAATCCTAATCTGCTCTCTTCTTCTTCCTCTTCCGCTCCCCCCCTACCACCATCTGCCTGTGCCTCAGTTATACTCAGGGCTCTTAGATCTAGGGTAGCTTCATTCTCCACTCCAGTTCTTCATCAGGAATGATCAATAAACATGTGGTGAAATGTCTACTTTTGAAGGTAATGGGGTTATGTATTAAGACTGTGATCTCCCAGAACCCACCATTAAGTATAAACTCTAAGGTGCAAATTGAATGATTTGTTGATTTGTTAGAGTATGTAAGTCTTTAGGTTTCAGAAGTTGCTGCTGAGCTCAATGTCATGGCCGTTATCAAAATGTGCACACAGGGCATGAACAGACGGAATCCACATACTTGAGTGTCAGATCATTGAGGCAAGTTCACCATCTCTCTGTGCCTCATTTCTTTTTTCCTTTTCTGTGAGACAGGGATGATGGGGGTAGTGTACATAGTTCCAGACAAGAGTAATTAGCACTATGTAAACACTGGGAGGAAGAGAGATGTCCAGGATATTGCCATGGCGATGGCCGGCTGCTTCCTCTCACTCCCACCTCCTGAGGTTTGCTTAGCCCTCTCTCCCTCCTCATCAGCCCTCAGCTTTCCCTTCTGCACATATTGACTGTACCACACACACTCTAGGTATACACAGCTTTTCATCAAACACAAATGCTGCTCACAGCTTGGCTCCCACTCCAAATCAGTCCAGGATAGAAGCAGAGTGCAGATGAGTTGGAAGAAAAGGCCCCTGAGTGAGCATATGAATTCTGTTCCCTTTCTGCCCTATTGTTGGCTGACATCTTGTTCTTTGAGTCACTTTTTCACTGGAGTCAGCTTTAGCGTTAAAAACAAAACAATAACAAAGGATTAAAAACCCACACATCCTAAGAGTATTTTTGGCTCTATTGTGTTTGATTATTTGGGATGTGGCCAAACCTGTGCTTCATTCCAATTGTACAGTCAAAGTGGCTTCTGTCGGGAAGGTATCCAGGTAGGAGCAATTAAAATAAATAAATATCTCTGTTCCAATTTGTCCTCATCATTCTTTTGTCGTTATATTATGTTTAATTTTGTGAGAATAATGTTTCTAGCACTTTGGAACTCATCACTTAAAGTTTTTAAAAAATTGCACTGTGATAGATTAAAGAATCAACATAACCTTTTAACAAGAAAAAAAGGGAGATTTTTGTAAAAGATACACCCCCTCATTGCCATTGAATTTGGAGAATAAGGGATACATCTCATTGAACGGAACGTGAACGAAGGACTGTTTTGTTCCATTACTGTTTGCACTTAGTAGATGAACTTGAGTAAATGTCTTTTAAGCCTTAATTTTGCCATCTGTGAACTGGGGAGAAGGTTCCTCTTTATTCCTATGTCCAGATGGGCACTGCAATAAAAGCAATAAACTAATGCAAAAGGAATAAGTTATTCTGGGCTGCAGTGGTCTTGACTGACATTTGGAATTTCTTCCCAACTACATATTCTGAGATTATAAATAATAAATACATTCACTCTTTCCAATACACTCTGTTTAAATATATGTAAAATCTAAAGACCTCTTTTTCTATCACAATAATCCAGGCTGTACTTTTTGCTTTATACAAACTGTTAAGCACCCATTTTCTCTCTTTATATTTAAGCTGAGCATATACTTCTTAAGGTCTTTCTACCTCTTCTTTGGGTAAAGTTTGCTATACCCAAGGATTAAGCAAACTTTAAAAGTTTTCAATGGTGTTATAGGATGCACAATGTTGAGTAGCCTTTTAGTAGCACTAGGTGAGCCAGAGAAATAAAAAACTCAATGAACCCCATTTTAATTAAAATAATTGTTAGAACTTTTAGAATAAGATAGTTCCCTTTCTTCTCATCAGCAGAATGAAGCCAATATCTGTGAAATAGCAGATTCTTAATGAAAACATGACCAAGTTCTGAATAGTATGGTATCAAACATTATTGCCTTATTTTTATATTTTTCAAAAAAGAGCTTATATATGTACTATATAAAGTTTTTTATTTTCAGGTTAATTTTCCTATTAAATACATTACTTTCAACCTAATTTGCCTTCTCAAAGTTTTAAAAACATTATCAGATAAAAACAAAACTGAGCACACATTAGAGGTCTATAGACTTCACTGGCCCATGGCTAGATAAGGTGTCATTAGTAATACTACCCTAAATGCCTTTGGTTTTGACCCTGATAGCTCACACAAGACCTCCAGCCCCCTGGCACTATCCCATTCTCTCAACACAAGAGGGTCAACAGGGTGTGTCCCCGTGTGTGCCCGAGCCTCCCCCTGAGAGTTTGGCAGAATCTGCTGGACTCTGATGTTTCTCCCTCCGTGGGCAGCAGAGTCTCTTGGTATCCAGCCTGCCCCTTGGGCACTGCTGCTTCTTCACTTGGTGGGTATGGCCAGATACACCAGATTCCTCAAAGAGGCAAAGTCACCTCCCCTGCCTTTCTGTGACACACTGTTCGAGCAGTCCGTTAGCAATGTTATTTGTGCCTTGGTACTTTTCAGTGATTTGGTGAAGCAGCTCTTTGAGTTTTTACTTGCTGGCTTCCTGCTCTCCATTAAGTTGGACATCAAGACCATTAAAGACTGGGTGCGAAGGCAGAGAGATCCGGGCCAAGAACCAACCCCTTTTCATACTCAACCTCCAACGACCAAGACTTCATCCTGAGACTGGATCTCTCTTTTCTTCATGAATGATCTCTCAGGAGACTTCAACAGCCTGCTCCAGAACTTTCTTTCAGGTTTCCCCACTAGTTCACCCAGTAAGTCTGAAGCTCCTGCAGTGGACACACCCCAAACACAAGTTAAGATCCCTCTTAAGTGAGGATTTACTCTTGTTTTTATGGAAACCACCCCAGAAAAACCCCAGGGATTGAACTTGAGGCTGAGGATAGGAGCAAAGTGGAAGTCAGTGGTGAGGATGGTGAGGAGTGGGACAGGGGGAGGTTGAGATGCTTTCGAGAAAGTGCCAGGGTGCATTGTCTCTTTACTTAGGGTCTGCATTCTCTCTGCAGAACGACATCTTCGAGTGGTCCAGGGACCATCGAGTCCACCACAAGTACTCGGAGACTGACGCTGACCCCCACAACGCCCGCCGGGGCTTCTTCTTTTCCCACATCGGGTGGCTGTTTGTTCGGAAGCATCGAGATGTCATTGAGAAGGGGAGACACCTTGATGTCACTGACCTGCTGGCTGATCCTGTGGTCCGGTTCCAGAGAAAGTAAGTGAATGGACACCACAGGGCTGTCCCTGGGGGACAGGACCAAGAGACAGGGCACAATGGACGCAATTATATCCTCCAGTAGTTGCCCTCATGGCACTTTCTCTGATGATTCCATTCAGTCTTCTTGTTAGGATTTCTCTGTTTAGTTGTTTCCTTTTGCTCATTAAGGTTTCCCTGCTCACACATTTGTTTTTAATTTAAAGTTTGAAATGGATTTCCCTTAAGGCATTGGTTCTCAACCTTGGCTGCACATTAGAATCACCTGGGAATCTTTTTAAAATCCTGATTTCTGGGCCTCATCCTCCGGAGATTCTGTTTCTTTGTTACTAATGTAGTGGCCCCACCCCATAACAAAGAAACAGAATTTCTGGAGGATGAGGCCCAGAAATCAGGATTTTAAAAAGATTCCCAGGTGATTCTAATGTGCAGCCAAGGTTGAGAACCACTGCCTTAAGCCCAGTGTCACTTCCTTCAGACCAATCTGTTTGGCTCACTTCATGGACCATTTCTGCAGTTCCCCACTCCCCCATTCATGTTTCCCTGAGGTGGCAGGGAGGGCGCAGAAGACACCGTGCTTTAGTGATACACGCCTGACTCCAACAGGATTGGACTCTTCCCAGGTATCCTGCTCTGTTCTCCTAGAATGCTCTCGTAATGAAATCTCCCCTCCCCTCACTTCTAGAAATGTTACACCACTGGGTTTCTGTGCATAGAAAATGTGACTGTGTAATAGAGAGCCTCCAAGTGCTGTGTGCGCTAATGGTGTCGGCGGGGCATAATCAGTCATCTGCAGGGTGAATTTACTTTCAACAAGAGCATGGAGAAAGGTTGCCTATAATTGTGCTGGCAAGGAGAAAGCAACCATTATCCACTTTTAAAGTGGGAAGCTGGCATGGACTGTATCCATGTTGATCTGGGGCTGCAAAGTTGGCCATGAGAGCATTTATAAATGGGCTTGTTGCCCCAAAACATTGGATTTATGTCTTATATTCAAAGCTGAGCATATTGTCCCAAAGAAGGACAATTTATGGCTCACCCTCTGGTTAGCACCCTGAGATAATACAGTGAACAAGTGGCTACTAGAGACCGTTCCACTGACAAGCAAGAGTTATTTGAAGACTTGTCTGAATAGAATCTCCTCAAGGTGGAAATAGCTGCTGTGCCTTTGTTGACACAAGAGATCATTGCATGAAATGAAGTGTGGCTTGGAATTATGCTCAGTTTCCCCTCAGCCGCTGCTGTCGCGTTGGAGGGGGCAGTAGAGCACAGTGAGAAAATGTCAGACCATGGAGACAGACTGCCCAGGGTCAGCTCTGCAGCTCCTCCTCATACTAGCAAAAGAACTGACCAATCTAAGGCTCAGTTTTAGCTAGAAAATGGCAGTAACACTAGTACCCATCTCCTACAATGTTTATGAGGACAAGTGAGAAAACAAAATGCATGGGAAATGCCTGGCATGTAGTAAGAGCTTAGATCAGTGACTATTACACAGGCGGTTAGTTGCTGCTCCAGAGGATTCCATATGCTTCCATCCCCTGTTTTGATTGTGCCACAGGGTCTTCTCTCTGCTCCTCTATTCAGCTCATTCAAGCGGACAGACCCAGTATCAATAGCCAAAAGTTTCCTAGCAGAAAAGAACAAGATGTTTTCAATTAACAATGAAATGATTTTTCACCATGAGAAAATCTGAAAAATTCAGAAACATAGAAAGAAAAACATCCATAGTTCTAACACATAAACATAGTCATTCTTAATATTCTGTAGGATATCTTTCTATAGTGTATGCATATATTTAGTATGTTTCACATGATGGCAGTCACACGGCATAGGTAATGTGTCTCCCCGTTAACTTCAGGTTATATTTGGGGCACATTTTCAGAAGCTGCATGTGTTCACCAGTTTATTGAGTATCATAATTTACTAACCACCACTCTTTGACTGGATATGTACAGTGGGGCCTTGATTTACAAGTGTCCCGACTAACGAGTTTTTGGAGATACCAGCTGTCTCTCGGCCAGTTTTTTGCATTGAGTTGATAGAGTAATTTGAGTTAACGAGCTCCTAAACGAGCTCGGTCTCGGAACGAATTAAACTCGTAAGTCAAGACCCCACTGTACATCCTTTGCAATTTTGTGATATAAATGATGTTGCTATACAATTAGTAATGCTTTGGGAAATCAGACCTTAGATTAATTTGAAGAGCTCAGAAGAGAAGGTAAAGGATCTTCTATTTTATTAATGAGAACTGAGCTAAGTATAATAGTCTGTGTTTCTCTGACCATAAAAATGGAAGATTTGTTTTCATTTTTTCCCTGAAAAAAATGTGGTACTGTAATCTTACTCATTAGGTGTGTACTCAGGGTACATAGGTCCAAATGCAGGCAGCAGAACAAAGACTATTTCAGCATGTTCCATGAATAGTTATCTCAGAACATCTTTCATCACCAGTCCAGTGACCAAAGGGGGTGGTAGCTATCAGAAACCATCCCCTCATTTCATCATTTCATATATGTCCTTGAGCTCCTGCTAGGAATTGGTGCTGAGGATACAACTTTAAATAAGGTAGTCCAGAGCACCATGGGAACACAGAGAAGAGTCTCCTAGCCCATTCTGCAGGCTGGGGAGAGTGAGGGGAGGCCTGTGGACTGGACTAGCTTCTAAGCCAACACCTGAAAGATAAGAAGAAGTTAGATGAGGATGGGGGAAAGGATATTTAATATGTCTGTCATTTCATAGCACTGTATAGCACCATTGAACCTTAGAGCTATGAGGGACCTTACAAATCACTTTTCCTATAGGGAAACTAATCAACAAAATATAGATAGAAAGCTGGGGATATAATCTTCATCTCTCTGAGCTGCTATAACAAAAATAATAAACTAGGTGGCTTAGAAGACTGAACATTTAATTCTCACATGTAGTTCTGGAGGCCGGTGAGTCCAAGATCAAGGTATCATTAGATTCTGTGTCTGGTGAGAGCTCTCTTCCTGGCTCATAGGCAATTGTCTTCTCATTGTGTCCTCACCTGACAGAAGGGCCAGAGGAGCTCTCTGGGGCCTCTTTGTGTGTGTGTGTGTGTGTGTGTGTGTGTGTCTTCCATGGTTCCCCTGGGGTCTCTTCTTTAAGGGCACACATCCCATTTATGATGGCTCCACCTTCTTGTTCTAATCACCTCTTAACAGCCCCACTTCTTAATACCATTGCATTGGGGGTTAGGTTTCAGTATGTGAATTTTGAGGGGACACAAACGTTCAATCTGTAGCAAGATTATTCGCTCCATGGTCTTTTAATTCTGTCTTGCTGTTTGAAAGGGGCCACACCAGTTCTCTGAAGTGTGGGTGAGAACTCATGTCCTTTGGTAATTATCCAGCCTAGAGAACATAGAGATCCGAAATGCAAAATAAGGCTGAGAATTACTGAACTAAAGGAAAATAGCTTCCAAGATGCACAGAGAGAGTACAGCGGTTTGGGTATTTTCATGTTTGTGAGGCCAGCTTCACTGGTCCTGCCGGTCAGGCCATGTAGAGGAGACAGATTCCTCAAGGAATGAGACCTTGTGCTTAGTGTGTGAACTGGAGTTTGGATCCCATTGTCAGTGGCACTGCCACGTCAGGTCTCAGTCTTTGCTACCCTAGGCTGAGTTAGGGGCTTCCTAAGTAACAGAGAAAGGTGCCCAGCTTGTTTGGGGCCTGTCCTGGGTCATTTCAGTGGCTCACCTTATAGAGTTCCCACCTGCTCCCATATGGTTCTCTGAGAGCAACAGTCTCTGTTCCAATATTGGTAGCCAGGGTTTGCAACTGATTCCACTCCCTTCCCAGATGCAGTGTTTGTGCAAACAGATCCAGATAAGTGCCACTTGGATAGTTTCCTCAATTAGGTAAATGTGCAAATGACAGAGACCAAGGATTTAGAGACCCCTCCTTCATTCAGTACACTAGCACCAATATTGCAGTTGATTGATAAACTTGTGCTTAGCCATCCAACTCACCAAAGAAAAGCTTGCCAGGAACCAGGCTTGATCAACTTTTCATTATACAGTCTCATAAAGAGAGACGGTAGCCCTAACCGGTTTGGCTCAGTGGATAGAGCGTCAGCCTGCGGACTCAAGGGTCCCAGGTTTGATTCCGGTCAAGGGCATGTGCCTTGTTTGCGGGCACATCCCCAATAGGGGGTGTGCAGGAGGCAGCTGATCGATGTTTCTCTCTCATCAATATTTCTAACTCTCTATCCCTCTCTCTTCCTCGCTGTAAAAAATCAATAAAATATATCTAAAAAAAAGAGAGAGAGAGAAGGTAGTAGTGGCATTAAGGATGAGAGGAAAACAACACAGTTCAAGCTATAGTTCCAGACTTTTCCTCCAAAAGGTCATTTTTACCAAGGTTCTTATAACAAGTAGTTAACTGGACTACTTCAAATTTTGCTCTACTGTCAAGTTGTGAATGATGAAAAGACAGGGATTAGGAGGCGAGAGAGAGAGAGAGTGCCTGGCAAGTGGGACCCCTGCCCTAGGTCCTTTGCCTTCAAGGGCCACACTCCCCCTCGCAGGGTGAGGAGATCACAGGTGTGGAGCCTCCTTCCACTTCTAGACAATGCCTTGGGTTCCCAGGATCCTGGAATTCCTTGGTCAAATGGCTTTGCACTCAGTACCAGAGCCTACCCCAACCTCTCCCAGGCTTTTCCTCCTGGTGGAAAGCATGGGTACCCTAGGCCTGAAGAGTGGCCAAGGGGCAGTGTTAGCCTGTGGATGAGCTTAGAAGCGTGAGCTCGGATGTCCACACAAAGTGGACAGAACCAGGGACAGGAAGAGAAGGGGAGCCACAGACTAGGCGTCTACATCTTGACTCTTGGCCTGGGCCCTGCCAATGTTGGGGGTGAGCCCAGAAGGGAGCTACTCCAATGGCTGACAGTGGGTCTATCCATTAGGAATTTTGTTTGGGTTAAATAAGATGGACACGTATTTCTCTCCAATATAAAAGAATTGTGACAATCCAGGGTGT